TGATGATGATGGTATATAAGAGAGAAAGGTTTGATTGTCTTTTTTTCTTATAATGGAAAAACTCAAAAATACTCAACAGATTTTAAAAATACTTTTATACATAGAAAGCTACATTACCAGTAAGTACGATAGGACATATATTATTTAAAAAAGTAGAAATCCTTATAAAAATTACAAAGTATTAAAAATTTGCCTATTAAAGCTTATATAAAATACTTATTTATCTACCTGTGCGAAGCCGGAGAAGTTTGCTAGTATATATATAGTATTGTAGAAGTCGCGAGTGAGTTCGTTTATAGGACCTTTCAGAATATCAGCGTTACAAACAGTGGGTGTGTGTTCGTAGAATATGCTCGCTGTTGATGGCTTAATACTAAAATAGGGACTCTTTGGTCACTTATTTTTTTCCCTTCTCTAATTTTGATTGTGTACTTCTCACGTGAAATTGTTCTGTGGTCATTTTTTTTTTTTCTATTTTATTCCATTTGTCCGCGTGATCTGAATGTTTTGATTAACAGAGATAGAATAGTATTATGATACTAATCTATCATCTATCTCATTTTAAATGGATGGCCTGTTAAGAGGTCTCATCCAAACAAACTCACTTTCACATTGTTTGGTAAGTATTTAAGATGACACACATATTATTGTTAGAAGTTTTGTATGTACACATTATACTTTAAAATTTTTGAACATTCTTGACAAAAATATACATAAGTTAATGTGTTTAAAAATTTTAATGACATGATTTTATGATGATTTATTTTCACATGTATTTCTTTATTTTGTTTTATATAATAAATTAACAAGAATACGGCTGGTCTGATAGTAAACGTAGTTATCACAACCTATGAAGCCTGTAACATCAGACATTACGCGCGTGTTGCTGATTCTTAAGAAACCCTATTAAGCCTTTTTTTATATTAAAAAGACAATTAATAATTATATATATATATATATATATATATATATGTATATCTATATATATATATATATATATATATATATATATATATATATATATATATATATATATATATATATATATATATATATATACTTATCGTTATAATGAATAATAAAATAGAACTCACTTTCACATTTATAAAAACTTTGACGAGTTAGTAAACATATTGACTACATTGTCTAACATTCCAAGTTAGTAAAACAATGTTGTATTCTCCAGAACAAAAACGATTTAATCAGTGAGTAAAACCATTATTTTCAGAATAAAACAAAAGCTAAGTACGGTTGTTGAATGGTCAATATCTCTTGGATTATGCTTACATTATACTTATTTCTTAGATTATACAGAGGGGGTTCGAAATTTTATTATCAATAATTTAATGGATTTTTATTTATTTATTTTGCACACATTAAAATTTATATATACAGGGCGCACTTGCCTATAGACATTTTTCTGCCAGTAAAATTTACCATTTCTTTTAAACGAATGAATTGGAAAAAGAAAAATCATGATCTCATAGTGTTAAAGCAAATAATAATTATTAATATAATAATAAAAAGACAAGACCAGTGTATGTTACAAAGGCGATTGCTATACCATTTTCACCCATCAAAAAAAAAAAAACCTAAAAAGACAGGAGTGTAAACAATTGTTAGTAATTGTTAACATTTCCTTTGTTAGTAAAATCACGTTTAAACCACGCGGTTTTTTCTGGTTAATTTTTGAATACATCACGAACTAACTGATCAGTTTTCATCCTCACTTATCATCTGTTTGCCTACGAAGGGATATCATTCCATCATCAGCGATTAAAAAAATCTAAAAAGACAAGGATGAACTGTGTGAAAGATGATATGGCCACAATGGGACTGAATGTGGTGTGTGACTGCGAATAGAGAAGAATGGAAGAAAAAATCATATTACGCTGATTCCAAATAATAATTAAGATAAGGCTATAAAGATGATGATGATGATATTTGATGTTGTTTTGCTTGTTTATTTAGAATAAAAAAATGTTTAATTCCACAAAAAAATATCTTCTTAAAATGATACAAATGATTTCAATGTCAATAATATCATACTGACATTATACGTGATAATGTCAAAGTGATTGCGTTATCGGGTTTTCTAATTGATAAATTATTATAGACAAATATTATTTATTATACTTATAATACATATTCATGCATGTAAAATATTTACCTATAACGAATCTATTATAATTCCAGGAAATTTTGAAATTGCATTGATTAGGCTTATATTTCGAAATACTAAAACTTCCATCATTTTCATTGTTCCGTTTATTACAATACTAAATTACGTAACAACATTTAGTGGTTAGCGCATACCGCTAATAAACCATTTAACGAATTTAAAGCGATGCCTCGGGATTTATATTCCAAAGTAGGGAACGGATATAATAAAATCCTGTAAATAACAATATGTAGGTTTGTTTCATACTTGCGTAACTTCCGCTATTTTATATAACTACTAGCTCATAGAGATGCCGGTTTTTTTAATAAATGATAATGGTATAGTAACTCGCCTGGTGGATAACCAGTAAGGGGAAATAGGTGAAAATGAAAAGATAGATCAGTTAGCCCATCGTGATGAATACACATGGAACTCAGCACAATTGTTTCCAGGGAGGGAGGACCACGGGGTGGTCGGCCTGGCAGTGTATATTGTTAGTAGTGGGATTGGTAGTCTGCATTATTAACAATCCCTTTCGCTCTGGAGATGTCAGTAGAGGCCGTCCAAGACGGACGTATGCCAACCAAATAGACAACGTGATGAAGAAGGCCAAATTAAAAGTACCCGTAACCGGCGAACGTGTATAAAAAGATTGATAAATGTATGGGAAGCGAAAGAGGTCTATTTGAATCGAAGCATTTGGAGTTCTATTGTTTTTGCCTATCCTAATGAGAGTCAGGCGTGACGGATATGTATGTATGTACAAGCTGCTTCGGTAAACATTGTTGCGTAGAACTTTTTCGGAGCATTACTACTGCCATCTACTTTTATATCTTATCAGGATATAAGCAAAAACTGTGGCTAGTTGGCGCAAATAATACACTTTTACATAATTTTATTAAAATCGTTTGAGCAATTTCTGAGATATATAATCGAATATCGTGACATGAAATTTTTGTATGTATTTCAATTTTTAATTAACTTATATCAGAGTAAATATTGCAAAAAGAAATAAGACTGCTTCAATATATATCAAGTTTTTTAATAATTTTATTACACAAATTTTATTTTATTACACGAAACCAAACTAGTTATATCTATTATGGAAAAGCAACTAGATTTATTACCTTGATGAAAACTCATGATACGTTAAATAATATAATCTATATATATTATTAACATAGTCTAAATTGATATAGAATAATATAATTTTGAAAAAAATTCAAATCATCTGAAGAATTTGTTTCTTCAGAAAAATTTAATACAAGTGTATTTGTAACATGACCTACATAAAAGATTCAAGACTCAATAGCACAATAGCCGGTGAACGAGCTTAAATTTAAACTACCGATTTGGAGCCCAATGAAATGGAAAATATGATTCCATCCCATCATAGTGCCCTTATCTGTTATCCTTGGACTTATTTTTAAGGCTATCTAAAAAAGTTAATAGAAAAGTATGACAAAAGCGTTGTTCCAAAAGTAAATGAAGCGGTAATAATAGTATTAAATTGAGTCAATTTGGATAAAACGTCAGTCATTATAAAGCTCATAATAACAAAGAATGAATCAGTATGCCCGTCGAGATGTTAATCAATTCAAGTACTTAACAATGTAACTATGTCCGTGACTTAGGCCATATGACCGGGTCAAATTGATTGATCGATACAAAAGTAGCCTATGTCCTTTTCCATTACATTTACTATATTATTCCATAAATAAACAAAATTGGTTTTCTTTATAATATTGATAAAGATTTTATTTACTCTTTTTAATTCATTGCCTCAAGACAGTTTTCCTGTATTTATAACAGTTATGGATGTTTGCTTAGCTATCGTGTCTCAAATTTCCAATCAGTAATATAATATAAGTCAATATAGCTATAAATTTACAGTTGTTGAGAGAGCAAATCTAAAATGTGTATAAAATGCATAAATGATATATTATTTTTGAAATCATAATGGATGTATAAATTTGCATGAATCATTACTTTAAATAGAAAATTCTATTTAAGTTGACTCATGCAAGCAAAACTGCGGGAACTAGTCTAACATTGAAAGACTACTCGAAGCTATAAATTGAAATCTGTTGGCGTGTACCCAAGATTTTTTTTCAATAAAGTTAATGCATCTTAGAACCGCATTTTAATAGGCATTACTTAGCCCCAAGCCTCTCAGTTTAAATAGCAGTATTAAAATCTCGTTCAAGGAAACACTTCGGCACTAACACTTTTCATGCAAATTAAGGTAAAGAAAACTGGATTCATTATAATAAGATTTACTTGATAAAAAATCTCATCCTGAGAGCCGAGTGTTAAATAATGAAGAGGCTTGAAAATTGTAAAATAATTCGAGGAAAAAATGTATTGCTTTGTTTGTTTCCTGCTAAATCATTTGAACAGTGTGTAATGATTTCATATGAATTGATATTGAAACAGGAAAATGTAATAATGCAGCGTTTTATGTAGTATTTTTTTTTTCAAATTTTAATGCGAATGTGTTTAAAGCACAGTTATAGTACAATTCGATAATTAAACTTCATTTCACTTTTAATTGTTAGAAAACTATTATTGTAGTTGTGAGCATTTCTTTTGTTTCAAAGCCAGAAGTTGTTAATTTAAAATTTACAATCCCTTTTTTTGTATGATCTAATACGTAACTATCATTGTCGTGCATTGTAATGTGGCTATATAATAGTGAAATATAAAAATGATTTGAAATACCTAATTAATATTTAAGTATCTATAAATTAATTAAATTACAATTAAAAATAATATCTACTGAATTCTGCCTATGAACGTATGATAAGATAGTTGAAATTAATAACAAAACAAACTCCAATGAATCATTTCGACAGCTTGATAAATTTTGCCGCGATAAATTCGATCGCATTAACTTTCCAAGACATATTTGTCAAAAGATGTATTCGAAGAAACACGCCGGGACGCGTCAAATACCATTGATAAGTGGTTGATTGATGCTTACTAAAATGGTCATGGATTGTAAATGGTAATGATAATGTACGAGCGCTGCAGTAAAACTTAACTGTTTAGTATGTCAGTAAGTTAAAGCTGGGTATGTGTCTTCGTGCGATTCACAGAAAGACCAGTTGGTCAATAGGGCTTCATGATGAAGGTAACGATAGAATGTTTAAAATAAAATACTTTAAATATATCTTGTAATTTTGCACTAAAAATCTTGAGTTCCTATATATATACATATTATAATTAAATATTAATTATATAACTACAGATTATTTAAATAAAAGTATGATTGAAATTTTATTAAGCTTTAGATATCTGTAAAGTATTTTATATTTATAATATTGTTATAGATATTAATTAATGGTTTATGTTGTATTATTTTTATTCATTTACCTTTGCACAAGTTCTTATAGGCTAAATTGAGCAAATCTAGTAACAGGTGGAATAATAATAATAAATTTATATTCTCCTTAACTATATCCCCATGGGTAACTTTAAGTTTTAAACCGCGTAATTTTGGCTGGCTTTATGCGAGTATTTCGTTCCACTTTTCAATTGAATATTATGTTATTATTTTAGTAAAAAACATTTGTATAGATATTAATGACTAGTTTTTGTTTACACTTGCGTGTGGAATTCGATTTTTAGTTCATAATTTTATTTGTATCTTCTATCTATCTATATATCTTATATCTTCGTAATTTTGATTTAACGATATCTCTTAATTGTTTACTATTGGGCGAAATAATAAAGAGTATCTATCTATCTAATTTCTAAACTACCGAAATTCCACAGAAAATTTTAATCCCCATTTTACTAGTAATAATCTAGATAAATAAATTGACCTATAGTATTATCGACATATCGATAATTGTTGCCCCTTCTCTATTCTTGGCAAGCGACCAACTTTTTGCTATAACCTATACGTAAAAGGACTGGCCGATCTGAAAAGACATATTTTTCTTGAAATTAAATTGGTATTTTATTTAGTAGTGGGAATTTTATCCTTCTCAATGTATTGTTCTGCTTTTAAATTATACTACTTGTTTAGAATTATTTATGCATTTATTATATTTTTATAATGAACTACTAATTAGATTAAAAAATAACGAAACTAAATAAAGGTTTTCATCGTTGTCCTATTTTCTATTAATTTGACTGTCACTATTTGACATGCGCGTAGTAAACTGTCAGCGGATTTCCGCCAAATTAAAATTCATGATATGCGAACGATTTATGATATCCACGATACTGAATAAAGGTCGAAGAGATCATAAATGCCTTTACGTACTCTCAAAATTTGGTTAAAATTTATATTTGTAAGCGCAAAATGAAACGGTAAGGTGCTAATGAGGGTATGACGTAGTGCGTACTTTTGAACAAAGATAACTTTGAGATAATTTCTCTCTTCATTGTGTTAATTGGATGATTAATTTATGGGATTTTTAGTCCGTTTACGCAATTAGATACTACACACATGTGAGTAAGCAAATCATTTAAGGTGTTAGATAGTTGGAAGTCATAAAAAGGTGGCTATTCAACTTTATTAAAGCAATATTAATATTCTATTTGCTAGCCGTATAAGGAAGTTCCAAGTCGGTCAGTGATATACGGAGAAGCCTACGTATAGATAGATTTCGAATTGAGGATATCCGTAAAAGACACAAATTAACCGATTATCATATCAGTCGTTAACTGTCCATTGCTGAATCTAGGTCTCCCCATAAAGGGGGTTTTGCCTGTAATTGCCAGGCTTGACAGGCGGGTTGGTAACCGCAGTTAAGCTTTTGGTCATGTTTGAAGAGGGATGCTGCTGCTCATCAAATGATCATTAAGTTCTCATAGTCGCCTCTTACGATAACCACGGGAAAGGAAGGGCTTGCCCATTCTATGCCGGAATCACATAGAATGGGCAAGCCCTTCCTTAAATTAACTGGATATGTCGAACACAGAGTAACGATATGCGAATCCAAATGATTTTGTTATTTCAATAATTAATAATTACTAATTTTATAATTTTATTTTTTTTATTATCAATAAAAATAATTAAACTACCAAATGAATAATATACTAATTTTCGTATTTGAACGATTTAACTAATTAATAACTAGTTATAATAAAGTTTTTTCTCTGTATCTGTTTACTATCAAATTCATTCCAAAGCCTGTATCGGCTACTTCTAAATGACTAGGTCTGACTAGGTCAATAAAAACGACGACGAAAAAAAAAACGATAGTACGAGATGAAATGGATATTATTAGTAACCTTCTTAGGGATTGTTTTGCTGATGAATCTCCATCATGGTTTAGAAAATATTTCTTAAGACAAAAAGCTACCACCTTCTTTCTTTTCTCTTTTATCCAAAAAATATTTTAAGAGCTACTATATACCGCTTTTTGTATTTCATTAGTGTAACGTATGTTTTATTTTGTTACTACCTTAAACTTGTGCTATTGTAAATAATTAAATTAAAGATATTTAGCTTTATAAATGGCAAAAAATAGATCTTTTCCTTTAGGAGGAATGGACCTACTATTAATGGAAATAGCTGTCTATTTCCATTGCAGCATGATAGTAGCATGGTAGGATGATATACAAGCTGATGGTCTACCTGATGAGAAGTGATAATCATCGCCTATAGACATGAATGAACATAACAGCGTATTACGATTTTAATTCTTAAATTATCAACAAAAGGTAAGCCCTTTTTTGTAATAATTAAAAAGTATACATTTACAAATACATTTATAGAGTCCACTCTATTTATTCATTGTATTTTCTAAGCAAACATCTCGGTTCACAGACAACGAGTCTTAATCGATGCTCCGTTGCTATAACTAACATGCTATCCAAAAATAACATAGACTATAACATAAATAGATGAATGTAACCCTAATGACACACTTCACTCGTTTTATTATTCTATTGCAATAGCTTCTACGAAATCGCGTAACGGGTGGCCTTTTATATACTCTGGTTAGGATGCATTTTAAAAATATCCACTTCGTAATAACAGGACGTTATTTTTGAGATTTACTACTAGTCTAGCGAAAATGAACATAAACTTTTCACTCAAAGTAAATTAGGGTCGACGTAAGTGTGCGCTTCTTGTGAAACGGGCGATGTTTGCATTATCTTTAATGCAAAAATAAAATTAATATAAATATCCGTATAAAGTGGCCCCATCTGTGGCTTTTTATAAGAATCGCAAGTTAGAATTTTACAGCAAGTTTCGTGATGACAAGAACAACGAATTAGACTCAAATATTCATTATTTTATTACATCTTATTTACTCTCATATCAACCTACTTTCCAAAGTAATGTATAAACGAAACATCTGACAGAATATACAAATCAATTTGTTTACCTACGTTCATGTCGTTTTTTATCCACGTGAATCGGAATACTAGAATGTATTCATTATTCAGTATATAGGAGAAATATACATCGTTTATTATTTTTGTAAGCAATACGTATATATTATATATACAATATACATGATTATAATATACAAAAAAGTAGTTCATTAATTCAAATTAAACTGTCTAATTTTTAAATTATTATTTTTACTTGCAACACTGAAAAAATAGCCAGCCAAACGTCTCATTAGTTGACTAAATTTTTCAAATCTGTTAACTTAACCTAATTGCTAAAGAGACGTTTGGCTGACTCAATTTTGATCTGTTTTTGATACTCGATGTTTTGTGTATATAATTTAAAGGAGTCAGGATATATCATGTGATAATTAGCATACTTATTTATTTTTGTAACAATTAAGGTAAACAGTTATTTTTTTATTTCTATCATTATTAACTTGCAATAATGTAAACAAGTTTGAATAATTACTCGTCACAATTCACAATAAATGAATAATTCATTAGAGTAGTCGCAATTTAGTACAATAGATTTGTTACTATGACAAATGCTCTCTCGCTAATTGTTATCAAGTTCCTGTAATTAGTTCACCCGATATTAGTGAATGATTGGGCTCTCTGACTGTAATAGATCGATACAGTTGGTAGAAATATACTTGTTCGTTGAAATATCTAGATTTTGCGTTTCAATTTTATTATGTTTTATTGTTTTCAAATCAGCTATTTTTTTTAATAATTTCAGAAAACGAGGTACTCTTAACAAGTATATACATAATTTTTAAAAGATGTATACACTGATTTTTTTTTAAATGGCGTCTGTGACTATATAATTTTGCATTTTTTTATTTAAAGTCTATTTTTAGTATGACAGTTTTATAACAATTAATTTGTTTTGTGTAAAATATTTGCATGTTTGTATATTATGTAATAATTATCTTATTTCGACGATTTTTTTTGTGTTTTAATAATCTATTCAAGTGTAGATATTTTTAGACATATTCTTAAACTGTGTTTCATTTATTTATTAATTCATTTTATACATATATGTAGTTTTTTTCAATAATATTAATTCACAATAAAATTTGACAAAGGCATTCCGTATATATACAAATATACATATCATACACATAAAATATAGTATATATAAACATATACCTATATAATACATAATGAAATATTTAGGTTAATAAATACAAATCTCCGTAACACAAGACTCGGTTTACTAAAATTGGGAAGTCCCATAAATAAGTCTAAACAAATTTTATAGAGTGATCACAGAAACTGCGGCGTCAGCATTAAGACCGATGTAAAATTGATGATGGATTTTGGAGGAGTCATTGACCCTTCTTGATATACGATCTTACGTTGTATTTACGACAGTGTATTTAGTACGTACCCATATTCTGCCGCGAAATGAGTTAAAGTGGAATGCATCCTTTTTTTTTAAAGTAAACTGCTTTTTATAAGAAATTGTATGTTTATATGTACTGCTATTGGTTGTAGTTTTTATCAATATGAAATTAATGATTAGTATAAAGATTATATTTATCCACACTTTTTATTTTTATTTTATAAATTGTAAACTAAATTTTTATTTAGAAAGTTTTATTTAGTTGAGTTTCTTGCACGTTTTACTTAGATGAAACTGCATTTCGAACTAGGAGGTAGAATAATGAAAAATTACTTATTTGTATATATATATATATATATATATATATATATATATATATATGCATATGCTTGTGTGTGCAGTAGATACGGCTATGTGGGCAATCTTACATGTTTTTAATATTCCGTATGCCATTCTCATAGGAAGGGCCTTTTAATTATGTTAAATTAAATGTAAATTAATATCGGTCACCGGTTGAGTCGTTGACCTACGCATTTATATTATTGACGCTGATCGATAGTGTCGGTGAACTTACATCTGTTTCTAACCCTATATTGGATTTTGCCGAAGAAATTGGATACTTTAATGTACTATATTTAATTTTATGAGTAATTTGATATATATATATATATAATTTTATAAAAAACTCGTATCTATGATTTATTTTAAACGATACTCGTATTGTATGAAATTAGTAAAGAATTAAACACCCTCATAGTATCGTTTAACTTAGGTAATATTCATAATCATCGTATCAGCCGTTATCTGTCCACTGCTAAACATAGGCCTCGCCAAATGGACTGCAATAAGGAATGGTCTCGAGCCACCTGCATCTACTGAGTTCCTGCAATGCATTTGAGGTCATTATTCCATCTATTAGAGGATTATTCTACACTGTATTTGTTCATATGGGGTCGAAACTTTCTTCCCCATCAATTGTCGCTTCATGAAGCTATGTGATCAGCCCTTTGTGACTTTACTTTACTTAGCCTTTGGGCTATGTATGTTACATATGCGGTTCTGCGGATATCCGCATTTCGGTTCTTATCACTCAAAGAAATTCTGAGCATATTCCTCTCCGTAGGGGGAAAGGGATTGTATGGAGTTTTATAGCCTCATTGCTAGCAATATGCCCTATTAGGTTGACCTCCACGTGGTTCTCCCTGGAAACCATCGTAAACAATTCTTGTTGAATTTGTTACGATGGACTAACTGACCTGCTTCATCCTCACCTATCATCCTTCACTGGTGCCCTGACGGTGTATACCATTTTCATCCATTAAAAAAAAAAAAAAAACTCCTCTCCGTAGTTCGGTGACTAGCTTAAAGCATTTATATACGGGCAATCGTGTAGGATCATTAGGTTACATTACAGATTACATAGTTGATATTATGGCTGACATACTGATGTATTGTTAAGTATTATTATTATTATAAATAAGGTCATACCACACATCAATTATTTGATACAGCAAACTCTAATTAGACCATGTAAGCAATGTCAAAACTTATCTTTAAATATAACTGACATCATAGATCTATTATTTATGTCAATACATAATACTGCAGTATAAGAAACAATCAGTAGTCTAACGCCTTTGGCGTGTCCTAAACGATTATATGACAATTAGGGACACATTGATCTGTCTTGCCATGTCTCTTGGATGACTGGTAAAAATTAGTTCATTATATAGTACTATGAAAATATTATGGTTGATAAATTAACATGTGTACTCTGTCCAAATGTATTATTTAAATCATAACAAAAATAATAAAAAAGTCAAAATAAAAATAATAAGAGAATGCGTTAACAACACTAATCCCGTCATTCTCAATAAATTACACAAGCAATCGTGCCCGAAAAAAGCAACTGTCTCTAAAGTGGGGCAGTTTAAAATAGTTTATTAGATAAGATAGGGGGATTGCAGTGACCCGTTTCGTTTAGTTCTGTATAGAATAGATCTAATAACATTAATCTCAGTAACACAAGTAGTATATTGTCGTCAGTTATTTAAAAAGTATTACTTTTTAGTAGTTCTGTTGATGTGACCCTAAAAGGTCGTAAAATAACGATAAATTTTTGTTTTATTTTAACGATATCTAAAAGAAGGTTTTAAATTAGTTTGATTTTTATTTTGTAAATGTTACTCGATTACCTCGTTACTTTTGAACCGATTATTACAATTGTATTTATTAATATCAGTTTTATTCATGTTTTAACAGCACGCTGGTCGAGCAGTGCTACTCGTGACTCAGTGCTGAACCGCGCTCATGAATAAGGACTCCCATTGGGTTTAGAACTAGTCAGGCATCCTCGAATTTAAATCGTGAGTAAATTTGATATAAATATTTACAATATAATAAGACACACGATAGTTATTACAATTATTTATGCAACCGAAAAGGTTTTGGTACTATTCAGTTGAAGTGAAGCAGTTGTGTTTGTATGGCTGTGTTTCGGTTTGAAGGGTGGGATATGGAGTGAATTTACAGGGTACACAGGAATAACACCTGAATCCTCAAGAATGGCAACGCATGGGGGGTATCATGGGCGAAACAGTATGTGTGTGTACTATTATGTTCATGGTACTGCTCATATCTATAGGCGACGGTTACCACTTTCCATCAGGTAGACCGTCAGCTTGTTTGCCATTCTAAGTCGTATAAAAAAAATATTTCGATGCAACGCCGTCATTAAAACTACTGTCTATTATTTGCAAAAAAAAAAAGACTATTTATTAATATAAAAAAAAAAAAAAAATTGTTTCAATATATTCCATGTTCTAAATTTAAATATTTACAATGTAGGTTATCAATATCAACGAAATATCGTAGTTTATCGATGTGTGTCCATAATGTAGCTTTTTGGGTAGCAAAATTGATTTATTCACCCTGGAATCATACGCTGTCTAGCATATTAGTATTCCTACAAAGGGGTACTGGGGTACCATATTAAAATAACTGTAATTTAATAGCACAAATGATACCATTGTCTATCACTATTATATAATATATATCTACCATTATTAACTGTGTGATTATATAAAAATAATTTAACTTATTACATTACATTACATTAAGATAAAATAATATTGTTATCAATGAAGTCGTATAATTAAATTAAAATGTGAAAGCTATGATATATAAATGACAAAAATATTCACACTATTTCTTCACTAGGGTATTAAGAAATCCCACGCTATTTTTAAACATATTATAAACTCAAATTTTGGTGTTAGCTTTATTAATTAGTAGTGGTCGTCATTAAACTAAAATACACGATAACTGATATGCGTAGGTTAACCACAAAAGTAAAATAAAAAAAAATCCGTCTGGGATGCCCTGGAATGTAGGGTTCTAGAATAAAGTCTACTAACTTTACCGTGCTACTAGAGATGGGTCACGATATGAGTGCAGGAGATATTTTATTAACTCACTACTCTTTACATAAAATATTATGATTTTAGCCGTCATACGCTTTGACCGCCGCCGCAAATGACTACAGAAGTCCGAGTTTGACGCGTTTGCGTTTATTTGCATAAAGCGGAATAATTAATTGCAACTTAAAACACAAAGAACGCTCCGTTCGCTATTCATGTAAATTAGGTCTAGAATAGTAAACGGTTTGCGAAGAAACAAGTAATTTATTTAGAAAATACAGAGCCAACCGCCCGAGCTCTCATTGAAATTCAAATACGAGAATGATCCGAGTGAAATTTATTTTTCAATTATCCATACAAAGACATTGCACACGACTTGAAAAGGAAATAGAATATATTTATTTTATAAGAAACGTGAGGAAGTTATATAACTCAAAGGGTTCTTTGCTATTAGAAATATTTACAATATTGTAAGTTGTGCCTATAATTTCTTTGACGTTATATAGAAAACCAATTACTCGTACGATTTTTTGAATGTTGCCTATGTTACCATCGAATTGATAGTAGGTTGTATGCCTATTTATAGTCTCATTCCAAGTACCATCCATTAGTCAACAATATTTTTATAAAAAAAAACTAGCTTCTCCGCACGGCTTCGTTCGCATGTGACATTAGATTTCTCGCAGGTATCACTTATCTATCTCAATCTTATAAATTATAGCTGGTGTTCGTGACTTCGTCCTCCTGAAGTTCGGTTATATTGTAAATCCCCATGTTACATGTTATCTTTTCTTAGTAAAAGGTTAAATTTAAAACTTGGATTTCTTAACTTCATTTATATAAAACTAACAAATTTTTAACTTAATCAAATCATCTCCTATCTCATTCCTTCGAAGATAAAATTTCAAAAAACTGCTGAAAAGCGTTTTATTTTTAATAAAAAAAGAAAAAAAAAAATACAGAAAAATAACAGAATGCCTATACAAATTTTCATAACCATTTCACTCCTTTTAGGATGAAATTTCCAAAAACGGCGAAAAGTGTTTTCTACTGTTTGTTTTGATTAATCGAGGTCAACCCTACTACATATTTATGCTACAATAAATGTTTAAAGTCTAAATTGGGCATTAAATTTGCCCCTCGGGTGTAAAATTTGGCCCTAAAATCAAATTGTGTTTTCCTTTTACAAAAATATAATATAAATAATAAAGAGGTCAAACAAATGAGTTAACTTTTCAGAAGTTACCTAAATTTGGGCCGTTTATCGAAAAATCATTAATCATAGCCTCTCATAATAACATTAACAATCCGGCAATATGAAACGTGCCTAGCATCCAAATACGACGTTTAGCAAACTCTCATCAAGCAGGTAGTTCAGACAATTTGTCTTGTCAGTCAAGTTGTCTTGATAATTTATTTGAATAAGTAATTAAACTGGTATAGTATGTACTGGAATACTATGATAGGGTAGCTCATGTTACTTCTCACAAGCTTTCTTTTCGTATCAGCTTTTCTAGCGACTTTGTTCGTGTTTGCTTTATTAGAATTCATACTTTTATGCTATCTATTGTTTTTACAGTCGATTGGAGTTCATTCTCTATTTCAAAGTAGATAGTATTAAAAAATAACATTATTTAACATTATTATTACAATACCTTAGCTAACAATATCTAAAATTAGTTTAAATTTCAAGATTGAAGTATTTAGTAGTTGCTGGAATTTGTATTCTAGTCTAATTTTATCCTTCACAAGATTGTCTCTATGATGGACTGAAATGCATCAGAGAGAGTACAAAAGTCATTTGCTTGGATACCTCGGTCCCATACGTGTTTCATCCATGAAGCAGTTGTGTTTGCATAGCTGTGTTTCGGTTTGAAGGATGAGATATGGCGGTATATTTACAGGGTATAGAAAAATAACACCTCAGTATGCAACGCATGGGAGGTATCATGTGCAAAACAGTATAGTACTCTGTTATGTCCATAGTACCGCTTATGTCTATAGGTGACGGTTATTACTTTCCATCAGGTGGGCCGTCAGCTTGTTTGCCATTCTAAATTGTATAAAAAAAATGAATAGAAATTGCACCGTTTAAATTATGAAAATAAACTTAAAAGTCTATTAAAAATATAACAAATTGATTAGTGCACGGCTGTATATACTACTACCAAAATTAAATGTCACGGCAATAATGTCACTAAGAATTTAAATCAACCAAACCCAATTACACGGAAACTGGAGATTACGTTACCATAATGTGAATATTCTAAACTAACGAATCTCTGAAACAGAAAGCTTAATTAGCCCCGTGAAATTTTCAACTTGAAACGGAGCAGAACTCGTTACTTGTTCCCTGTGTTGTGGTTTCACTAACACATTGGTCTGAATTTGATTCGGTGACTTTAATGAGTGAAATCAACTTATCCTAGATTATTCTACTACCTTCACTAATATTTTAAATGTAAAAGTAGTTTTATTTAATTGTCATAATTTTGCATATTAAATTAATCATAATATTTTGTGCAAATGCAGTGTAGGAAAATTCCATACTAGATGGAGCTACGACTTAAAATGTGTTGCAGGGAGCTAATAGAAACACGTGAGGGGAAAGGGATTGTTAACAATGGAGTTTAACAGCCCCATTGATAGCAATATGCACTATTAGGTCGACCTCCACGTGGTTGCCCCTGGAAACCACCGTGAACAATTCTTGTTGAATTCGTCACGATGGGCTAAATGACCTGCTTCATCCTTACCTAGTATCGTGTATACCGATAGCACGGGTAGGGTTACCATTCCATTATCATCCATAAAAAAAATTGAATCACGTGGCTTGTTCTAGTTTCTTATTAGTTTAGGAGAATAAACTTCTTTCATAGATAATTCCACTAATTCAGCGGTAAAGTAAAAATGGTTAAAATGATGCTGATTATAATTATCAATATTATCTTCTAATTCTGCAACTGATTGCACTTACTTAAATATAGTCATTCAGCCCTAAAAAAGTCAGAGTAAAACAAATTTTTTATTTCACTATATTCGGTATTTGTTACCTTTGCTTCAGAAGTTTTTTTTTTATACAACTTAGAATGGCAAACAAGCTGACAGCCCATCTGATGGAAAGTGGTTATCGTCACCTATAGACATTAGCAGTACTATGGACATAACAGAGTATACTGTTTCGAACATGATACTCCCCATGCGTTGCTATTCCTGAGGACTCAGGTGTTATTCCTCTGTATCCTGTAAATTCACGACATATCCCACCCTTCAAACCGAAACACAACCATGCAAACACAACTGCTTTACGGTTGAAACACGAATGGGACAGAGGTACTCAAGCAAACGACTTTTGTACAAAGTCTCCCTCTGGTGATTGAAGAGTCTTAATAAAAATCCTGAAGATTATATTAAGATTTTTTATTAAGACCTTAACTCAAACGCCTATGCTCATCAAGTTTATATGAAACAGGAAATACATTTAAAAAAATATTTGCTTACTTTTTTTTAGCTTAAATGGCGATATTACTAAAAGATCTATAAAACGTTAATGTACCTATCAAAATGAACTGCGTTAGGGGGAAAGCATTACTTTTTAACGTATTTAGCGATCAAAGCTTTCCGAGATACTTTTACGACGATTTCATTAGAATATAAATCTACGAACTGTTTAACTTAGCAGTTTAATCGTCTAATGCTTCATTAAAATTCCCTTGTAACCTATCACCTAAGAGTAGTCCGTGCCTACCATAAATTCCCTTATCGTTGGAAACACTTTCACTGACACACGCTAATTGGCAGAATAAACAGCCGTGGACACACAATCTTTAGAGTCTTGTATGTCTGATTGCGGCTCCTTATTAGTAACTTGTGGGAGTTTAGAAAATATTTTTGTGTTTCTAGTGAGAAAAGTTATAAGTCAAGTTTTTCTTTTTAATAGTTTTATATTATAAGTTTTACTTTTTTTGCAATAATAATGGGGTCGATTCAGCGGCGATATTTAAACTTATTTCTATAATTAAAATTTTCATTTGATATCACACCAAAAATGTTTGGTTAAGGAAAAATATAAACTAAATTGCCAGTACATTTATTTAATGAAAATTATTTTTAAATCTAGTTATCAAAAAAGAAGTAATTTTTCGTGAAACTATCAAATGAAAATATAAGACTAAGAGATAAATTTAGAAAAATGGTGCCTCAGAATCGGCAATTCAATTAGTCAACAACATAAAAAAACATTTAATAATCATATTGATATTATTACTAGTTGCTAATATAGCGTTGTTTTGTTTGGTTGTTGAAGGAAGGATGGATACAGTCGCATCATTTTAGATTTTTTATTTTATTCTTTGATCATCTAAGATCCGTCCTTGTCTTACCATAAATTCTCTTACAATCTTAAACACTTTCCCTGACATACGCTAATTGATCATGTAAACAGCTGTGGATATACAATTTGAAAAAATATGCTTTTATCGGTCCTCTACAATTGACTGTGGATGTTTTGTAAATTAATGTATTTTTGTTCCCATAGTTATGTATGATTAAAACCTTGTAGATATCTTTGCGTTTCTTTATTAGCAACTTTTTGGAGTTTAGAAAACAATTTTCCATTTTTGCCTTGCCCTCTTGTGGGGAAATCCTAAAATCAAACGTGTTGTTTAGTATTAAATAGTACTGCATATGCATATTGAAACTGATCTAAATTAAATGAATAATACATTAATTTTATGAAAAATGTACAAATATACCTATAGTGACTACGGATAATGTATTGAGACGTCTTTTTTATTTTACAAAGAAAGGTGTATTAAAAACGAAATTGAACTTAACAGAGTTGAGTGTGCAATTTAAAACTTTTACATATTTTATGTAACCTACTTTAAAAGAGGTTGCTATAGCTTGCAAATATCCCTATTATTAAGACAATAATAATATCATGACTACTTTGCAACAGCTGTTTGCCCTTGATACGTCGTTTGTCAATATTGATTTATTACTGAGAATTCGTATAATAAGTATTATATACATAATTCAGTAATTAGACAACTATAAATAGCCCATAATCTTAAAATAAGGCTGGCTCATAATAATATAAGTAGGTGTAATACATAAGACTTCACTTAAAACACTAGGTAATTGGTGGAAATTTCCAGGGTTAAATTACACCTGTTAATTATCGTGATGTTTAATACCCGTATATGTATTAGGTAGTTATTATCATATATATTTTAGAGCAAAATTGTTTATATAAAACATACCGTATGGTCCCGGTATAGAATAAGCCACCCATTTCCTTCCCGTGGGTGTCGAAACAGGCGACTAAGTGATCTTAACAGTTGAGAGATGAGTAGCAGTATCTCTCTTTAATCATCACCAAAGTCTGCGTTTGCCAAGCCGCTTGCCAAGCATGGAAACTACTGGCCCAGGGGGGGGGGTCTTACCAACTGACTATATTAAAAATAAACTCTTTATTGCGCACAAAAGAGATTATATAAGGAGTAGTTTTACAGAATGTGCACATATAAAAGGCGGCCTTATCGCTAAAAGCAATCTCTTACAGACAACCTAACATAAATAGTAAATAAGTACCGAAAGGTAGATAGCGTAAGTCAGACACAGTAAATACAAAAAAGTAACCAAGTAAATTGCATATCATTTATATAACAATAAGACAAAATTCCATAAGGATACATATGTATAAATAATAGTACATTAGTATAAATATACTAACTAAATAGATCAAGGTAGATAACTAACTAACCATCGAGTGATATTGAACATCAATAATATACTATATATATATATATATATATATATATATATATATATATATATATATATATATATATATATATATATATATATGTATGTATGTATGTATATATATTGTAAAAATCATTATTTAGCTAGGCAAAAACGACGAACATTGTTTTACGCCTAGCGCTTCTTACTCAGTGCTTGTTATGTTTTCAGGATAAAAACTAATCTGTACCTGAAGAAGTTGGAGCAAACAAGACACATTTAGAAAACTTTATTAAAATCGATCGAGCGGTTTTGGAGATTAACGTGAATGAACATAGTGACACCTTCGCCCTTGTCACGTAGGATTTCAATATTCAAAATATGGGTAAAACGACACGTGTTGGTTGACCATAATTATACCCAGTCGAAATCACCTACATACCTTAAATGGGATTGTTGTTATTCTGTAAATTGAATTATCAATAATTTGAATTGATATACACAAGTTTGTTCACAACTACCTGTTAATATATAGAATTTGTACATTTTTTGTTGTTAGCGATACATTAGTACGCGTAACAATAAGTACAAAAGTCTTCATATGACATAATATTATTTATAGTATTAGTCATAGAAAAGTTACAAGTAAAAAATTATTCGCTCTGTCTATCTTGATATTGAATTCAAGTGATATTGATTTAGTATTCCTTTTCTACAATGTTTCTAGCAAATAAATTTCATTTCATTTCATTTCATTTCATTTCATTTCATTTCATTTCATTTCATATACATGAAATGGGCTATAACACTGTGAACTAATATATTGGTGTTTCTGCCGTGAAGGAATTGTATTTGCATGTCCAAGTTTTGCTTTGAAGAACCTACTCTTAATATTAGGATATGGCAAATGAAATTACAGGATACAAAGGCATAACATCTTAGTTCGCTGGAATGGGAACGCATAAATGAAATCATGAGCGACACACTATAGTCTGTTATGTCCATGCTGCTGTACATATCTATAGGCGACAGTTACCACTTTCCATCAAGTTAATCATTAGTTTGTTTACGATTCTAAGTCGCATAAAAAAGTAATAATATCAGAATAAGATAAAGTAAAAAGTCATATGCGTAAATAACATAGTTCCATTAGTATTTCTGCTACCATTTAGTTGTATTTCAATTTGTAGAGTTATGTATGTATGTAATTATCATCTTATACTGACATATAAATAATTTCATTTTTTTTAAACCATCCCTGAATATTTTATGCACATCCTAAAAGTTGACTAGTAAAGAATGCCTATAGCATTAAGTCCGCCTTTTGTATTATATTTTATTGATCAATAGTTTAAATATATATGGTACTTAAATGACATAGTACCGAAGTATAACACCTTAATTTCCAGAAATGGCAATGCGTCAAAGGTACCATGAACAATCAGTGTTATTCATATCTATTAGCAATGATTACATTTTTCATCAGATGTTCCATTAACGTGTTTGATAAATGCAAAAAGAAATGTATCTAAATAAGGGTTTTTAACATTAAATTGTAGCAGCATAATCTTTAAAAGACTTTTGTAAACAATAATTGTTATATGAACATAATATTAATTATCAGAAATATTAATGCTCCAATTTCATTAATATATTACTAATCATAAATTTGAACAAAAATGCAATTAATGTTTATGAAATAATATCAAGAATTTAACAAATAAGACGTTTAAAGTAAGATCAAAAAGACAAAATATTATTTACTCATTACGTTTGAGAGATACCGTTTGAAGTATAAATTTATTAGAAGTCATTATTTATTTACTTTTAAAATCATTTATTTTTTTTATAGCCAAGATCGAGTATTTTATGGTTTCACCTTCTCTATAACTAGCGACCAGCGATTTCGTCCACATGACGATCCATTTCTATCTATGTAATACGTGTATACAAACAGACAAAAAAACTCACTTTCACATAATTTTACTTCACACTTTTACATATTTATAATATTTTTAAGGTTCATTTATAGATTTAATCTGCAATGTTATTCAGTGTTTTATATTTTATTACGCTATTCGCTCCATTTTTTTTAGTTTTCATGTTCTTTACGCTTTTGGCGGTGGCAACTATAGTAAAATGAGTTTTGAAAATACTGTTAATAAGTTGAGATATCGATTATAGTTGAATGAATAACTGAATGTGTGAATGGTTGAGTATATGAATGAATGAATGATGAAAGAATTATTGATTGATTAAATGAATGCATTCATTAAATTCGATCTGTTAACAAAGAGTTAATAGAATATACCACATGCAAATTCACTCGTAGATCCGCTGGTAGAATTCGAGTAAGATCCGCTGGTAGAATTCGAGTGAGATCTGCTGGTAGAATTCAAGTGTGATTTTACAGTATAGCAATATAGTAGAGCAATACTGGGCACAGTTCGTTTTTCATTAAACGAGGTTACTAATTAACTAGACCGTTTTATAGAATTTTATTTAAATTTTTTCTTCTCATGCATTTGTAAATTGTACTTTAGTTGATTCATATAACATATTTGGAATGACATAAGAATAAAGCATGTCAACATTTCCGTTTTTATTGACTAACAAACTAGAATATTTGAATGAACGAGTAAAAAAAAATTATTCTAAAGATACAATTATATAAAAATATGTAACATAAAAATAATCAGAATTACAACAATTAAGCTAATAATGGGCGAACTTATCGCTAAGTAGCGATCTCTTCCAGGCAACCTTAGGGAAGAGAGGTATAATTAAATTTGCTTCTGGTCGAGACGTAACAATAACAATTTAAAATTGTGTTCTAGAAAAAAATAAACCGACTTCAATTGTGGTAAAAGCAGTTATTTTGATTTAAAAACTAAACTACTAAACCGATTTTGATAAAATTTCTATGAAACCAATATGTAAGTAATTCCATTAAGATTTTTCTTTATACAACTTAGAATGGCAAACAAGCTGACGGCCCACCTGATGGAACGTGGTAACCGTCGCCTATAGACATGAGCAGCACCATGGACATAACAGAGTATACTGTTTCGCCCATGATACCCGCCATGCGTTGCCATTCCTGAGGACTCAGGTGTTATTCCTCTATACCCTGTAAATTCACGCCATTCAATTAAGATAAAAGAAGAATTCTGCAAATCGATTTATTTATGACGTAGTTATGAGGTAATAAAAAATTCAACCGAATTGAAAACCTCCTTTTTAAATTAGAAAGTATAATAATAAGATTAAAAACAAGAGAGTAATGAGTAAAAAATCAATATATATTTTTATGTACTAAAAGTGGGAATCAAATACATGACGTGTCAGACTGTTAGTAATGCTCAATCATCTGACCCAGTTTTAATATAGATCTATTAATAAACTCGAAGTATTTGAGTTCACTGATCTATTTGCCAATTAAAAAGCATAACACTAAAATCATATGCGTGTTTCGTTTCAATAAAAAAGTTAGGCATAAACTATTTAGATTTGCACATTTCATCCGGTCTGCTAATGGTTTCGGAGAAAGACGGTAAAAAGCATATATTTTATTTAAAATAGAACTCTGTACAGGTTATATTTTTAGAATATATGGTTTAGTCTAGACAGTATTTGATTAGTGTTTGAGATCAATATCTCCCAACACTTCCCAATATATATACATTAATAGATATTGGGGAGTTAGTTCGATTTATTGATTAGTACAATTCTCAATTTGTACGAGGTGCTAATGAATGCAATTAGCGATTGCTGCAATTTTCAATTCTTGCAAATTAGCAATACGTATTTCATAAAAGAGTTTTATATTGTTACGTAACTATTTTAACGCTCGACACTAAAAGAGGGGTGTTATAAGTTTGATGTTTTTGTATGTCCTTCTGCGGCGTCGTAGCTCCTAAAGTGATAGACCGAATAGGATGTGGATTTTTTTGTTTAAAATTTGATGTGATCGAGATAGCTCTTAGCTACAATTTACGAAGCAAATTACCTCTAAAATAACTAATATAGGTATAACGAAATAAAGGTGTTTCAGGCGTTACTAAAAAATTTCTTTTTTTATTACCAAATTAATTTTTTCTTGTGAATTCCCGTTACAATCGTCAAGCCTTACTCAGGCGATATAATTACTATTTCAAAAGTTTTACCTTATGATTATTTAACGGGATATCAACCTGTATCTCTATTAATAAGAATGTTTGTCCTAACTGACTATCAACACATAATACTATGTATACAAAACTAAAATTTGGGACATAGTTTTATTTTATGAAGTAAGCATCTGCTAAAAAAGGATTTTTAAAAATTTCATTTTAAAGGAGAATAATGTCAAAGCCACTGGCAATAGTAATAAATATAATCTCTGTCTATTGTAGGTAAAGATTATTTAATAAAGTTTTTGTATATTAATTACTAGCTGTATTCCGTGGCTTTGCCCATGTGAATCTGTATATAAAGTACTCTTTGTGCTAATTTGGCACATAACCTTCCCGTGTACCAAATTTTTTTCATATCCATTTAGTAGTTTTTACGTAAAAGAGTGTTTAAAACATTCATTGTATGTATGTATGGATGTGTATGTATGGATAATACATTGGTCCATTCTTGCAAACCTTTGAATTTACAATATTAACTAATAGTATTAATATTTTGTTTGTTCATTTATTCTTTATCACTATTTATTTCATGGCAGAGTAAAAGTAAACTTAAAGAATAACTGATTGTTATTGATTTTATGATATATAATTTTCTTTCATAACCTTAGCTACAAGTTTTGAAATGTATACGTTATCTATAATTTGTAACTACCTATATTATAAAATTTAAATTTTTCTTAATTTTTAAATAAATTCCGTAAGTGACAAATAATATAACAAAAAGAATGTAAATGTGTAAAACCATAAAGATACGTACATGAAGGTAGCAATATCGTTAAACGTGGATATCCAATACTGTTAATGTCATAAAATGATCATTTTATATGTTGTATTACTTCAAATGCCATAAATAACATTTTATGCAAACATTACAAGAAAAGGTACAGTTTATCTCTGTTGATTATTCTCGATCCTCTCACGTAATACTCATTCATCTCTAAGTAATTCTATTGAGTTAATTTATATTCTGTATACTTCTGAGGAGGCATAAAGTTATAACAAGCTAAGTTAACGATGTAGAATGCATTGACGAACTAGTAACAACTTAGCGTGCGTTCTCTTATCTAGTTATCGTTGCAATTGCATCAATTTATCTACGCTATTTGAAGATAGTCAGAGAAAATATAATGAACTGAAAATAAAATACAATAACCTCCGACTTAAATTTCCCACTCATTCTTCTTCCTTTTATTCTAAATCCTTTACTGTTCAGGCAGTTCGTCTATGGAACTCACTACCTACCTCTATTCGGTGCGCTCAAACTCTTACTAGCTTCAAAACCTCTGTTAAATTTTACTACCTCTCACTTTAGTACTATTTTCCTGTGTAATTTTTTTTCTGTTGTATGTGTGTTGTTAAGTATGTGTATGTTATGTATATATTTAATTGTGTATATATATATGTATATGTATGTGTATGTATGTATGTATGTATCTATGTATGTTTGTATATGATAATATTTATATAATAGTGCGCCACCTACTCTTTGCCTTTTTCTCAATGTCCTCTACCCAAAGGTTATCTGGAAGAGATTGCTTAGCGA